GGTGCTGTCTACCTCCCCCCACCTCTTCGTCTCTCCTCCCCCATTCATCTGTGTATGTGTGTACGGGGCTGAGCATCTTCTATGTATGGCTCAGACCCCACCATTTCACGATTGAATGTGTGTGGAGTGATGCTATGTGAGTCAGTCCGTTTATCAGACTTCCGTTGCATCTATACTCATCCTACATTGGTTGATTCTTGGTTCTGCCCATACTCATTGGAGTATGCAACAGGGAGAGAGACAGGATAGGGGGAGAGAAGCCATAGCCGCTCTCTGGTTGAGATCCGTTGTGTGTGTGTGTGTGTGTGTGTGCGGCAGAGCCGCTGGAGACAAACTTTCTTGTATATTGACAATAATATTGGAGACGTCATCTTCAAGTGTTGACTGTATCTCGATTTGGCTTCTCACGTGTGAGCTCTCATGTGAATGTTCATTGGTGTATGCGAGGGTGAACTTGACAAGTACTTGGGTCATTTCAAAAGTGAAGTCGGAGGGAGACAAGTGTGTTGAAATATTAGCAGTGATAGTGTTGCAGATTCTCAGCTCTATATTTGCTGCTTTCTCCTCTATGGATCAACTATTGAATGGTAGCAGGTGGAGAATTTGCAAGACGTCAACAAACGACTGCAAGAGTATAATACCAGTCTCCAGCAATACAACAGTAAACTGCAGGGTGACACTGTGACTGCACAAGAGGCCCTTGCCATCTCACAGAGGGAGAAGGCTGCAGTTATGGAAGAAGTCGGTAGTTGCAAGGGGATGAACATGGCCTTACAAAGTCAACTGGAGTCAGCACAGGTTGGTTGCTTTGGCCTTGACACTATCTTTTGGTAGTTAACTCAGCTGATAATGAATATCAGCAAAGATGCTTATGTGTGCCCTTCACGCAGTGGTTGGTTGCTTTTGCCTTGCCCTCTCACATTTCTGACCTGGTGTGACAAGGTATGCTCAAATGCGGTCTTCCAAGTTTCAGTTTGTGCAGTGTGTTGTCATGTGTCGCAATTTCCGACAGCCCATTTGTTGGATGCCCAACCAGGTAACATGATTGGGCACTAATGGTGACTACTCACCATTTGCAGTCTCAGGACCTTTCCTACTGTTCAGCAAACAGACTAGGACAAAGGTGCACTTGTCTCAATCGTCTGACATTCACATAGCACAAACTGAGGGTTGAGCACAATCACACATCCGTTTAATCACAGCAGCGGATGGATGTGTCTGCTCGTTATTGATGGAAAATATTTTTGGAACACGGTTGCAAAGAGAAGAACGGGGAAAGACCCAGTCTGCCCGTACACCCCGTCTGTCAGTCTATAGATGGGTTGTTTGGTGCTTCTATCCAACTATTGGTCAGTTGGTGAGGCGGTTGGTTGGATGGTCTATTGCAAAAATATTCCGGAGAATCGGGAAATATTTCCAGAAAGTAAAGTCAAGTAGGAAAATGCAATTCTGTTTGTTGAACTCTGTTCTGATTTTGTCCTTGCGTGATCGCTTATTTTGTTGTTTTATGCGGTCAATCTTTCATTTTATCAGCGGAACATAGTACCTTTGGTAAAGTCGAGCCAGCTATATTTCTGTTGGTCAGAACAAGTTTTCCTCACCTCTTGGCGACTATTTGGACCAGCACATTCCCTCTGTAGGATTTACCATGGGCTGAGATGCACTGTGAACAGCAGCATGGACACCCTCATGGGCATCGAAACTTGAGAGCTTGTCAGAGCCGCTCAGGACTCCCTGTTTGATGGGTTATGCTTTTGTGAGCAGAGAATTGGAAATTGGTGAAAGGATGGATTGTTGACATGGAGGGAGGGGGCGAGAGGGGGAGAGAGAGAGTGCATGTCCGTCCACACACACACACAGAGAGAGAGAGAGAGAGAGAGAGAGAGAGAGAGAGAGAGAGAGAGAGACAGAGAGAGAGAGAGAGAGAGAGAGAGAGAGAGAGAGAGAGAGACTGTGCTGTTGCTGACGTCAGGCTTCTGCCTTGGTCTGTGCACAGAGGGCAACTGATGACCTTTTTCGGCAGCAAAAAGTCATGCAGGAGGAGACCCAACGAATGCAGTTTGAAATCCAAAGGCTGCTGGAAGATCGTGAGCGCAAGGCAGAGGAAAACAATGCTTTGGCTTTGGAGAATGCTCGCTACAAGGAATGCACAGGAAAGTCAGCAGCAGAGCTAGAGCAGCTGAGCATAAGAGAACAGGCGCTTAAGGTACTGTTCTGGTTTATGTTGTTGTGTGCTATATTCTGGACAGCAGGGGTGCTGGTGCTGTGCACGAATGCACAATTTCTAAGTCTTTTTTTTTTTGCCCATGCTGGAAACTTACATAGGTGCCCCAGATGAGTGTGGCTGTGCTGCAACTGTTCAGATGCCAACTACATGGCTACGGAATGCAATTGTTTTGACTGTGAATATGGAAGTCCGTTTGTGAGGTGGTTAGTGTGGATCGGCTTGCTAGGGCCAGGAAAGTGTGATAGACGCACTATGTGTTTGCATTGACACACATTCGCCAATTTGTCAAAGGGTGGGTCAGGTGCCAGGCATTCTTCAGGAGGATAGGAGTGATAACAAATGTGAATTAGAAGTCATGGTGTCATTCTTTCCAGCATGTACAGGTGGCAATCATGTGGCTATGCAATTGGGAAGGTGTGGTGTGCACTATGCAAATTTGCGGTGGAAGTACAGCAATGATATTCTTTCAGAGGTTGTTAATGGGTATTTTGAAACTCGTGTGATGAAGAAACTGCAGAAGAGAATAAAAACACAGAGAAGGGAGAGAGAAGCAGGCGTAAGAAGAGAAGTAATGGGGTAAGAAGAGAGAATGACAATGGTGGTGTAGCGAACGAAAGCAATGATGATGTGCATAATGACGTTAGCGAGAGTGTTGCTTGTCATGATGATGTTGGGGTTGATTGTTTTTCGCGGTAGTGTATTGCGAGGAACAAGCCCTCAAGGGGCCCTATCAGACATCACATGTTCTGGGCTAAGGCCCCCAGCAATCCAAGTGCCCGCCCTAAGTGAAGGCGGGCCTGAATATTCACAAGAGGCCAAAATTCGACATTTTCATATGTGGGTATTCAGGCTCTTGCAGCACGCCAGTTGGTTGGGTAGACGCGTGAGCCTCACTAAGCTGCGTCATACAGTTGGCCCAGGCCTTGACAGTTGCGCCTGGGCACATACGCACAAAGCAGGGCCGATACACTGGGAAGCAGGCCATCGGCCTTTGCAAAAGCAGTACTGCTGACGCACCTGCATGGGAGCCCTGCACAGATGCAGCAAACAACCCAAGTCCGGAGACTCAGGCCGTGCCCAACTGAAAAGGGCCCAGACCCTCAACTGTAGTCTTGGGCCTGGGCGCAGGGTCTGAGGCCCAACCGGAAGCTACTGGAAGCTTCCAGCCAGGCCACACGCACCATCCAGGAGGCTGCCACTTCCATAAAAGAAGTGAGGCAGCCCAGGCCAGGCATTCTGGCCAGTGCAGGCAATGCGGAAGTGCTGCTGCGCTATCGCTTGATGCTGCACTGCTGCCAAGGGCGCTGACGGGGTGCGTAGTGGTGAGGTGGGCCGCTGCAGGGCACCGGGGCGCAGGCAGCCATAGCCGGGCTGCTGGGCGCCAGGGTAGGAGGGTGATCAGGTGGTCTTCAGGGAAGGAGGTGCAGTGTGGGGTAATCAAGGTCTGATTGAGGGTGACTAGATACGTACCTGGCTCATGATGAGAGGTCGGCTATGGTGTTGACAGTCATCTACATTGGTCTTCGAGAGTCGAAGTGAACCTGTTGCGTGAACCAGATGTAGGTAGGATAGTCGGGTAGAGTAGGCTGGGCGCTGGGCGCCAGACAGAGAGGAGCGACTTTGGTTGGTGTGGCCTACGGGCTTGGGCATTGACTCATTACTTCATTGTATTGCTCTATATGGATGGTTTTCTCGGTGCATTTGTACTCTCTGCTTGGACACGACTACTTGGACATCTGTGTGATTTTGCAGCTTGGTTTTCTGTATATCGTTCACACTGATATTCCTTGCAATTTGGTATCGGAGCTGGTTCGTGATCGCCGCTTACCTGGCACCGGCGACATTGTTACTTGGTGCACCGACGATGCTTCATGTGCAGTAAGGATACTTCGGCGATGGTTTGATTGAGCGGGGCCCAGGTAGAGGGGCCAGCCGCTGGAAGGCTGTGGCGACAGCGGATGTATGTATGATGATGAGAGTATGCTGACATGGCATTTTGGCTAAGGTGGCACTGCATTGCGTTGTGGGTGGTACCGAGGCTATTGACCAGTCATCGAAATGCACGTCGGCCCAATTGGTGAGAAATCTGTGGTTGGGGGCAGCTATCTCTAGGTATGTTGTTCCCATTCGTTATCTACCCTCTCAATCTCTTCTTACCGTGAGGAAGTGAGTCCAACTTGAGTGTCCTCTCTTTGGTGAGGAAAGAATGTCGTCTCGTAGAGGCCCAAGACTGAGAAGAAGGATACCCACCCTTAGGAGGGGTCTTCTGCAAGACCTTCGGGTTCTTGCACTTAAACCACCAGCATCTCGCCCTGCTTGAAAAATCCGACGCGGCCGTTAA